AATACGTATATTCTTTACCCCTATCAACTGTTCGCAGTTTGTTGTACAATGCTCTCTCTCTATATACATATTTATTATGTGTGTGCACAGGTGCATGCATTTCTATCCTTTACACATCACAGCTGACAGAGCGATATCACTTCGAAAAAACAGGCGAAGCGATGCTTAAATAGCTGCACTTGACTAAACCTCACACGAATGAAAAAAAAAAAAAAGTTCATGGTTGCGAAACACCACAGCTGACATGGCCAACAGCTAAAGGCTAAAGATGAGCTAACAAAAAATAAAGATGAGCTAATAAAAAATTGGCAGATCCCACGATCAGTGGGAATCGCGAAGCACGGATGAGATAGTTGATATCTCACTTTAAAATCAGCTCAACGTTAAGAGGTGGAGGTAAATGATGCCGTACATGACTTCCATGCCATGATTATAATGTTTGGATGTGTCCTTTACCTTCGTCATCTATTCACGTCACGTGATACCAAATTTAGTATTAGTGGAGCTAGCGAAACGCCCGCTAGCACGCTATGAGCGTGGTATTGATTGATATGTGGCGTTTAACGTCTCAAAACCAGCATATGATTACGAGAGACGCCGTAGTAGAGGGCGCCGGAAATTTTGACCACCTGGGGTTCTTTAACGCGCACCCAAATCTGAGTACACGGGCCTACAACATTTCCGCCTCCATCGGAAATGCAGCCGTCGCAGCAGAGATTCGATCCCGCGACCTGCGGGTCAGCAGCCGAGTACCTTAGCCACTAGGCCACCACGGCATGTTGTCATGTTCTTACATGACCCGCGTGTCAGGATTATCATGTTTCCACCAGCCATATATTTCGTCATTCATTGACGTCCGTAACACCAAATTTGGTATATCTGGCGCTAGCAAAACAGCCGCGAACGTATCATGAAGGGCCCAATATACTCCCATGTAGCTTTGACGCGCGCGCACGCTGGGCACAGCGACGCTACGTTGGCAAAACGCGAGCACTCTATAGCCTGACGCCAGGCGCGACCAGTGTCCGTCGGCGCGTCCACACAGCAATCGGCGCGAAATGCGACATGCTGTGTTTCGTGCCAGCGCGTCACATCGACGACACTACGTCTCCCTCTTTTCGTGACGGAGGGACGCCGGACGCGCTGAAATGCGCATGCGTCAAAGCAACGCAGCGCGCGCCTGCGAGTATAAGGAAGGACCGGCACATGGCGTGGCAACACGGGCGTGACGCAACGAAATGAACGCCGGCGAGCACGCTCACCGCGTCACGTCTGAATGTATTGGCGCCTTGACTGTGGCATGTAGTCAAGTCTTCACATGACACGCATCTCATGATTATCATGTTTGCAGCAGTCGCATACCTTCATCATCCATTGACATCACCTAATACCAGATTTGGCTTATGTGAGGCTAGCGATACGGCCGCAAGCGCATCGTGAGTGTGGCATGTAGTCATGTTGTTATATGACACGCATGTCGTGATTATCATGTTTGAATGTGTCATGTACCTATGTCGTCCGCGTCCGTTCATGTCGCGTAACACCGAGTTGGGTACATGTGCAGCTAGCGAAATGGCCGCCAGCGCATTATTAGTACAGCATGTAGTCATGTTGTCACATGACACGCATCTCATGATTATCAAGTTTGTACCAGTCGCCTACCTTTGTCATCTATTCACGTACCGAAATACCCAATTTGGTATATGTGACGCTAGCGAAACAGCTGGGAGTGCATCATTAGCTTGGCATGTAGTCATGTGTTTACATGACACGCATGTCACGATTTTCATGTGAGGGTCTGTCGCTTGTGTTCATGCAATCATGTATACCCTTCTAGATTTGCAACATGCCATGTGAACGAAACCACCGCAAAAGCTGCAGGACCATTAAATGTAAATCATGACATTCATGACATCCATGTCATGATTTTCATCTTATGACTAGTCAAATATATTCTACATACCGTCATGTAATGCCATACCAAGTATGGTATCGATACCATTATCAAAGCAGCCAGGAGAGCTAAAAGTCGTAGGCGGCTAGATAGATAGATAGATAGATAGATAGATAGATAGATAGATAGATAGATAGATAGATAGATAGATAATAGATAGATAGATAGATAGATAGATAGATAGATAGACAGAAAGACAGACAGATAGATAGATAAGCTCAAAGTCGCGGAAGTTCGTTAAGAAAAGCTTCGCATTTTAAAGGTAGATTCATTCTAAACCCAATGAGATTATAAAATGACTTTAAAGGCTCATGCTTCGTCATTAAAGCACCACCGCCAATGATAACCAAGAGGATAATAGACATAAACTATCCGATGTGTTGCTCACATACAGCAGAATACAATTCAGAGATATCTAAAAATGTTAACATTGATAAAGCACAACTGCTGATATATACAAATCAGATGACTGTACAGAACTGAAATTTCCCCGTTTATCAGTACATCAATAATATGTGCAGTCTCGCAGGGTTTTTTTGCGGTCGCTGTCATCTTTAATATTAAGTCCAAGTCGCAAACACTGCCCCACGCATCGTAAGTTCTACGCGCGGGGAAAACCATGGAAGCACTGGGGACGAATGAGGCTGAAGCAGGAATGAGATGAGCGGCCATCTCCATTGTTGCACGAACGCTAGCGAGAACATCACCCCGCGTGCGAGTCCTGCTATTGATGGTTTCACAAGCAGAGAGGAGACGTCCCACCTGTCTTTCATCGGCGAAAGAGTATCAAAGGAAGCAGGGGAGACTGTATTGATCGCGCAGCAACGGCAAACTTTGATAATAGGGCGCGGTCACTAGTGCGGACGCGCGCGCTGTTTGAGTGAACTATAGTAAACAACTCGCAATTACTTGAGGTTGAGGCGACAAACAGCACCAAAACCGCTTCGCTCCCTGAAGTGGCTGCTTCTAGGAGGGGGGAGGGGGTGTGGAGGAAGGAAAGGCAAGAGGGTTAACCAGGCGAGCATCCGGTTTGCTATCCTACATTAGGGGAAAGGGATTTAGGGATAAAAAGAGAGAGGTAGTGGACCCAGGACTTAATGCATATTACATTCCACTGTGGATTGTCGGTTCATGGTACCTACTGAAGGCTTGCAAGCCCTAGCTGGATGTGGAACATCCAGTACCTGTTGTACAGTTCAGTGTGTGGTGGCTTCAGCATGCTGACGAACCCGTACTTGATATGTGTCTAACAGTAATTGAAGAACTATCAGGAGTGATTTATCTTCTAGAAATTTGTCAGTGCGCTGTGAATCTGCATGTCGCTGCATGCGACTTTGGCAACGCAGGCCAAACCGTGTTAGGTGTGTCCACAGTGTTTGTACCGACTGTCACTGATACATGTGGCTGCGGCTTTGGCAATGTAGGTCAAGTGGGATTCACAGAAACCAGGCCGCTTCTAGGGCTACTATATATGCTACGAGCATATACAGTAACTCTAGTCCCTCCTTCACACCAGCGCCTTCATGCAAAGGATGCAAATGAATTAGCTGCCTACTTCGCACAGCATTCGAGTTTGTCGCTATTGCATTCATCGCTTGCTTGTTTCATGCCGTACCTCCAACGTCACCGACATAATGATGACAGCAGCTCTCTCGGGCACGCCATGTCGCATATGACAGTGATACATGAATGCTTAATACTGACAACTGGACAAGTTTATATGAATTCATACAGTGAAACGGCACCACAAGGTAAGACAAATGCACACAAAAAAGGGGAATGTGAAACACAAGCGCTGACTCTGAACTTTTATTCACATGCGCATAACATATGAACACACGCATTGCTTCACACAGATAACAAACCCATACATATACTTATCTACCAGTGTGAGCAACCAATAAAAATGCACAACATATAACAATATCTTTATCAATTCAAGTATAAGATGTCTGTATTTTACAAGGCTAGGTACAAGAAGCTGATGCACAATTTTTTTTGACAGGCGAAGCTCCTTAGGGTGTGGGTCGTTCCCTCCTCTGTTTGTCTGTAGTATGTTGCCATCTCTAGTTTATGAATTGCTCACTTGATGGCATTGTGTGTATATGTGCTTGAAAATATTATCAATAGATGGTGCTAGTGGTTTTCGTATATTTGACAATTAAAGAGGATAGATGGCGCTGTTATAATAAGAAAGTTACAGCAGATCTACAGAGTGAATGATGAGTGGGGCGAAGCGTCCGTCTGTACAACCGATGCGTGCGTTAGTATGATAGGAGCTGACAGACAGATGGACACTTTGCCCCACTTATCATCATTCACTCTGTGGATATGCTGTGAATTTCTTGTATGTGGCAAGCCTCGGGAATCTCTCAAGTTGTCTGGTTATGATGCTGTTCCACTATGCTGGTTTCACTGAAACGATGCGCAGCCATATGTGATAGGCCACTACTACGTACACCCGATTCATATTCTTAAACTTTAGTATTGTTACTTTTGTGTATTTTTATTGGTTGCTCACATTGGTTGTCATACGTTTATGTATGGGTTTGTTATCTGTCTGAAGCCACGCGTAGATATATATTTAAGTTTTGCACAAGTGAATATATAAAACCTAATTTTAGAGTCGGCACTTCTGCTTCGTGTTCCCCTTTTTCCTGTGCATTTGTCTTACCTTGTGGCACCCTTTCAGAAGTATGAGTACATGAATGCACCATCTGGGAGCAGGACGGCACAGCAGAAGCAGACTGGTGCAGCACTTCCACCCCTAACTTGATTTGCATACTTAGCTAAAAAACGGATGCTTGGGAAAGTTGGTTCATACCTACAAAATTATTTAAACAGAGCAAAAAAAGAGGCAGAAACACCCAAAAGCGTAAAGCACATTGTCTGTGTGTCCTTTTGGGTGTTCCATATTTTTTGTCGCATTTAAATCATTTTTAGGTACGTACTTAAATTGATCTCAAACTACTAATATAAATATTTGAGTAAATAATACACTACCAACATGTGTTACTTTTAAATGCAAAAAGTAGATATTCAAGCATTTGAAAATGAATAAAAACAAATAGGCAATTGCATTTATTTCCCATGAATACTCATAAATCAAATAGCAATTTTCTCATAGGTACAAATATATTTTATCTCTACAAAAATACAGTGGATTGATTATCACATAAATATAGGATACATAAACGCCCGTAAAACATCTAATTGTGGCAGCATAGTAAGCAATGTGCCTCATTCAGACTAGAAAGACACTGTCCAGGGAGGCGAAACCCGCACAGATGCCTCCTTCGCTCGTGCCGGTCATTTTTGTACGGACAATGTGGCCTGCCTCGTAGTTCTCGATGAGCTCGTATTGGTCCCTGCATTTGAAGAAGAGTCCCCAGTTATTAATACACTAATCTAGCTTAAAATCAAGCAACAGACATTTACAGATATAAAAAAAGAGCATGAAAATCAAATACTACACCTCAGATCAATGTTACACAGTCATATAGCAGTAAAAAAGAAAAAAAAAAGAATACATGAGCACAATTTTAACACAAAATATGCACACACATCTCTCGAGCAGAAAAAAAAATTGCATTGAATCAATCCAAAAAAAAAAACTAGGAACTAGAAGAGAAAAAAAATTGTAACAATACATAACATTGATACAGAACCATATTATTCTTTTATTTGATTTACCCCTTTGAAAATAATATTTCTTTTCTTGTTTTTTTGATATGCTTCTTCCTAATTCTGGATTTGAGGAGATCTATGGTAAAGATATAGTCATTGAGGGAGTTAGGTATTTGAACAGCAAGTTTTTGTTCCCTGTAATTTGTTTTACTATGTGGTGTAGACACAAAAATATTTCTGAATATAGCCTGTCGATTTCATACTGTATTTACTCTGGAAGGATTGTTTGTCAGACTTAAATTGCCGTGTGATTTTAAGAAATAGTTTATATGATTGGAGTTTGGGCACCATTCATATTTTATTTTTGGGATAATATGTTTGGGTGCTTATCATACGTCCTATGTTTTCTATAGCATGTAGCACACGGTTTTGAAGCGTTTGAAGTGATTCTAAATTACACTGTGTTGTAGTCAACCAAACTAGAAGACAGTATGCTAAACGGGAATGTATAAGTGCGTTACACATATGGTACTTCATGCGTGTTGGTAGTACCACAGCCTATTTAAAGCACCTACAGCGCGGGCAATACTACTTTTGAGAGAGTCTATATGTGGTGGCTCGGACATGTTCTCATGAAATATAACTCCCAGAAATTTCGCCATGCTTGACTGTTCAGTATTTACTTTTTAAAACTGCAGCTGAGGATGACAAGCCGTGTTCGTTCCTTTTGAATTAAAGAGCAAGTATTTTGTTTTACTTACGTTTAATTGAAGTTTATTTGTATTAAGCCACATATCTAATCTTTGCAGCCAGGTGTTGGCTTGTTCAAAAATGTTGTGCAATTCCCATCCCAAGAAGAACATGTTAGAGTCATCGGCATATAGTATAATGTTAGAGTAACCATGTACCTGTACTTTATCATTTATATACAACAAAAAGAGAACAGGTGTGAAATGGAGTCTTGGGGCACGTCATATTAAACGGTCTGAATTTAAGAGGTAGAGCCATTGATCCTAGTGTACTGCGTTCTTGCCATTAAATAGTTTTTTATTGAGAAAAAGCAATGCCACAAATACCATAGTGAGGCAGTTTTTCGAAAATAACAATGTGTTGCATGGAATCTAAATCTTTAATAAAATCAAGAAATTCGAAAATAACAATGTATTGCATGGAATCTAAATCTTTAATAAAATCAAGAAATAAACCAAGGGTTAGCATTCGGTTTTCCATGTTGTCAAGAATTTGTTCTTGACAACATTGCAATGCAATCTCAATGAAATCCTCAGCCTAAAAAAAAAAAAAGGAAAAGAAATCGCATCTCGGGTGTACAGTGTTGCAAGTGATATAGACTCATAGTTCGTAATATATTTATTTTTGTTGAACAGCCCCACATACGTTAAAAATGAAGAAGGAATAGAGAAGAAGACACAGCCCTGACATAGCCACAGAACTTTCTCACAGTACCTTAAGTTACTATTACACAATACAGGGACACTCACCACCAAGTGATACCCTATACACCTTCCCTTTGGTTGGTAGACCACACACAAGGCGACGACGAAGGAAAAAAAAAACACAAACAGGTGCTGTCCTGCGTTTCGTTTATAGGTTGCTGTGTAGTGTACGGTGTATCAACTAAGATGAATGCATACCAACTCGCTTAAGCTTCCATTCTTATGAAGTGATATACCTGCATTTTCAAGTGTATATAAGATGAACACTTCTTTCTAAATTTTTTCATTGCTGTGTTTATGTAAAGTAGGACATATACAGTAAATGCTACTTAATTTGGATCTCACGAGACCACAAAATGTCAATTTAACAGAATTACAAATTATTGAAAGTATTAGGAAAACAATGAACTCTTATTAACATGAACACGCATCAATTTTCTTGGTGAATACGTCAATGCTGTGCTTATTTTGAGTAAGAGCAGCATAAAAGCCAAAATTACAAGCATCCTGTGACATTAGAGATGCAAGACCCGATGTCTTCAATAAGCCGAACGTGCTCTCCACATCTACCTTATTACGTACCAGCACCGCCACTATGAGCACATGACAATACATTTTTTTTTTCGCTGGTAAACGCAAAAAATTTTTCCACAGCTTCTGAAGGCTTGGCTACCAAGAATGTGATTGCAGATGAGAAACACGCCTTTTCGAACGCCCGCGGCCAAAAACTTCTCACGGGCAGTGGTAAATGAAAATAGGCATGAAGCATTATGGCTTTCCTGCTGTTACTGTACTGTTAGCAGTGATGCAATAGCAATGCGGACTGCGCCGCTTCGTTGCAGTTGAAAGTAAATTTCGTTTTTGCTTTCAGGGGCAAAGCTTCTTAAGGTCCAGGCTTGTTCGTTGGCGGTGTTGGCATGGTGCACCATAGCCGCGGATGACGATGAAGCTGATGAAGATGAAGAACAAGCGCGTTCCAGACCCCATATTCTCTTTCTGCCATCATGGCACAGCACATGTAAGGTACCCACTATACATCATGGGAATGAAGATGACGGTGAAGCACCCATTTTTGCCGCTATGCCTTTCATCATTCTCATACCTCAGAGATGTACCTCATAGCAGACGACGTGCTGCCGTAGTGGTGCACTCGTGTGCGCGCGTTTCTGCACCTGCTACACATCTGTAAGGAATTATTTGTGTACTTTGTGCTGTGGTTGAAGATGCAAAATCAGGGCGTTCCAGAAAACACATTCTCTTTTTGCCACGGATAGAAATGAACCTGAACGCGCTGTCGCCGATGAAGCTGCAGCAGCACAAGAAGATCGGAAAGCTGATCAAGGCTGTTGACTATAATGTAGATATCATGAATGAAAACTGGCTTGCGCAGCATGACATCACAATATGCTGTGAGATGCATTTCGTATGACAATAAACAACCAACAACAACCAGAAAGACGTGTATAGACCTTGTAACAGGGTTTATTTGCAGAGCAGAACGCAGAAGGCGAAGCAGTCAGCAGCGTCCGGCCAAGCGCAGCAAGCACGAGCTTATGCTGATGGCGATGCCCCTGATGCGCCGAGAAATGCTGCTGAGGCCCCTCTTCTTCACTACAATCGCCGCCCGCAGAAAAAGGCACCATCCTGGCGGATTAGGGAGAAGGAACGACTAATGGGTCATAATATGGCTTGAGGCGAGAGACGTGGACAGTGTCACGGCCGGGGTAGCGTAGGTCTGTGGATGGGATGATGGGCTCCACGATATAGTTGACGAGTGACGTTTGCTCTACAACGCGGTATGGCCCGATGTATTCAGGAAGAAGTTTTGCGGAGCGGCCAGGTGCAGTAGCAGGTGCCCGAAGCCATACCAAAGAACCAGCTGGAAAGTTTGGAGCCGAACGATCCCCAGCCAGGTGGGATCGCTGCTGCCATTGGTCTTCGGTAGAAAAAGAGCGGGCAAGCTGGTGGCATTCTTCAGCATGTCGAGCAGCTTCGGACGGAGTTGTACTTTCGGACTCATAAGATTTATATGGGAGAATAGTGTCTACTGTATTTGAAGGTTCTCGTTCGTACAGAAGAAACTATGGCGAAAACCCAGTAGTAGCTTGTACGGCAGTATTGTACGCGTAGGTGACGAACGGAAGAACTTGGTCCCAATTTGAATGATCAGAGGTGACGTACATCGACAGCATATTGCCAAGAGTACGGTTGAAGCGCTCCGTCATGCCATTCGTTTGAGGATGGTACGCTGTACTTGTGCGGTGCACGATTCGGCATTCGTTGAGTAAGCCTTTGAGGTGTCAGAAAGGAAGGCACAGCCTCTGTCACTTAAGAGCTCGCGAGGGGCACCATGACGCAGAATGAAACGTTGCAACAGAAACGTTCCAACGTCACGGGCTGTGGCAGTCGGCAGCGCGGCTGTTTCGGCATAGCGTGTCAGATGGTCTATCGCAACAATAATCCAGCGATTACCAGCTAGAGTTGATGGTGGTGGTCCGTAAATGTCAATGCCGACGCGATCAAAAGGTCGACTAGGACAAGGAAGAGGTTGTGACGGGTAGACTTGCCCGGGAGGTAACTTTTGTCGTTGGCACTGAGCACACGAGCGAATGAATTTCCGCACGTAGTTATAGCTGCCACGCCAATAAAATCTTAGTCGAAGCCTAGTGTATGTCTTGAAAAGGCCTGCGTGGGCGCACTGTGGGTCTGCGTGAAAAGCTTCGCAGATAGCAGCTCAAAGATGGCGGGGCATCACAAGGAGACACTTGCGACCGCCAGAAAGGTAGTTGCGTCGAAAAAGAAGATCATCCCTTAGGCAAAAGTTGCTAGCCTGGCGGCGAAGAGCGCGAGACGGCGAAAGAGTGAGAGGATCAGAAAGAATGCTTATGAGGCCACTGATCCAGGGATCCTTTCGTTGTTCCACGGTCATGTTGCGCAAGTGGATGACGCAAGTGCAGGCTCGATGGGAGAGAGGCAGACACCTTCATCCGATATGGGTGATCGAGAAAGAGCGTCGGCGTCCGTGTGCTTACAACTGGATCTGTAAATAACGCGGATGTCGTATGCCTGAAGTTTGAGCGCCCAGTGAGCAAGTTGTCTAGAAGGGTCTTTAAGTGTGGAAAGCCAACAAAGGGCGTGGTGGTCAGTGACGACGTTGAATACTAGACCATACAGGTAGGGGTGAAAATTTCCAAGGGCCTAAATAATAGCTAAACACTCTCTCTCGGTCACGGAGTAGTTAGCCTCGGCTTTCGTGAAAGTCCGGCTTGCGTATAGCTGACGACATA